TTGAATAAAAATTGTACACAAACCTTTGCACACAATAGTTCCCCCTACACCCCAAGGCATGAGTGATGGAAACCCTCCTTGCATGGATTGAGTTAGGAGTGTAGTGTAGGAACAATTGTTTTGAGAAAGGAAACTGTTCATTCAAACTCTGGGTTGTGATGGGGATCAAGCATCTTCGGTGTTGGAGATTCAAGTCATGACAATCATTTTCTTACATTGACAAGTGGAACTTTTGCTATGAAGTATTACCTTTTGATTTGATTTTATGTTTCAGTTATTAGCACATGATTAATTAAACCATCGATGTTGATGTAATGGGTTTAACTTGCTGAAGTCTGAAATGTGGCAGATTATTTAGAACTTATTGTTTGAAATATGTACTAGGATTTAGCAGAGGATGCTGATAATGTGCCGTTTCTGATTGGCTGGCTGTTGTATCATTTTTATCCCCACCTTTTGGCTGGCTGTTGTATCATTTTTCCCCCACCTTTTGGCTGGCTGTTGTATCATTTTTTCACCACATTTTTTTGGTGTTTTCTCCCTCACATTGTTAGCATTGTAGTTTAGCATGCAAATATTGTGTATGATGTAGAGAGCTAACCATTTGATCCCTGTAATCATTCAAAGCTGGAGAATTGTACATGTTTTCATGTATATATTGGTATTAACTTTGCTTTTATTAAGGTCGAATTCATCTCCAGTTTTGTTTAATGGCCATCTTGTTTATATCTAGTCTAATGGAATTCAACAGTTGAGAATTGGAAGGCCTTATTGTTTTGATTTTAGTTGTCACTTTCTGTATCTTTAATGCTAAAATACAGTGGAGGATGCCTAGGTTTTTCACTTCAAAAAAATAATAATAAATTTTATAATAAAAGTTTTGTATATTGTATGTAGAGAAATACATTTTTTAACATACTTTTTCTAATACTTTTTACAATTCAATGAAATTTGTTGATAATTATAAAATTGTGTGGGTCTCACTTTTCATTTAATAAATTTCATTCATTTTTTTAAGTTGTCAATAAATTTTGACTGATAAAAGTGTATTTAAAGGAGTATGACTGTTACTAGTGAGTGTGTTGCTAATACTCTTCCTGTAAACATATCACCCTTTTTTTTTTTTTTTCAGGATTTATTTTACTTTCAAAACAGAAGTATGGTATTACTGCCAAAATTAATTGATGTTCCTGGGAATAATCGTTTTATGCATGGGAGAGGTCATGTTCTAACATTGTGGCTATTTTTTCTGATAGACATTAAATCTATTTCCTATGGTTTATTTTATGTCTATTAGTAGACATATATAAAAATTTGATTGCTGTTTTATTATGTTAAAATTGACATGACATAATTAACTTTTTTTTTCGTTATTCTTTACTTCCAACTCTTCATTAGAATAGTTTATAGAAAAACTTTTCTCTTATGTTTGTTTTTATTTTTTCTCCCAAGTTATTTTACTTCAAAAATGTAAATTCAATGTTTCTAGTAAACATGTAAAAGTGACCCGTATATGCCTCTACTTGTTATACCATCTGCTCTGTTCATGCCTCTAGTATGACAGTTTGTGTTTTCTTTATACGTTGTTGGATGTCAGTGTGTGCTTATTCGAGTAGTGACTGCAAATTATCTCAATAAAAGTCAATTTTCTTTATTTATTACTATGTTTAGGCTGTACTATTAAGAGAGCCTTTGAATGCTTTGAAGGAAAGTGCCTAGCCTTTTATTTCATTGTTGCCCATGGAAGTAACAGTGGTAATCCATTTGATCAATTGATTTATCTTCTGTCGATACGTTTACAGGTATATATTCTTCAGGATTAGAGTATCTATGTTCTTTATTATATTATTATTCTGTTTCCATTTTCGATGTTCCTGAGATTGAACGTTTCCTTTGTTTTGGTTTTAAGTTTTAAGAACAAAGTATGTATGTTCTGTTTAGAATGACTTGGATGCGGGAGAAAATGGATAGAGGAAAATAATGTATACATCTGTGTTCAATTCAGCTCCGATTAGTTTCTACATTGCCCTGCAATGATGTATAATATATAGAGCTGTCAAAACGGGCTACTCGGCCCGGTCCGGCCCGGCCTATCACGGGTTGACCATTTGGTGGGCCAACCCAACCCGGCTCATTTATTAGTGAGCTCAAAAAAATCGAACCTGACCCGACCCACCACGGGTTGGTGGGTTAAACGGGTTGGCTCACCTTTAAAAAAATAATTTTTTTCATTTTTTTTCTTAATATACAACTAAAACCCAAAAATTTAAACTTATTTTAAAAATATGAGATTCTTAATTAAAACATCTATAAATGAATCATTCATCCTAAATATTAAATGATAATTTTAAATACAATCAAATCAAATCTAAATAATCTCAAATAGATAAATATAATCCAAAATCATCTTAAACTTCAAATACAATCCAAAATCATAAAAATTACAAATCACAATCCAAAATTAAATTATTATTGTCTCATGGATTGTACCATGACCCAATAATTATTGTATTTTTTTTAAAAAAAATTTAATCACGGGTTGGTGAGCCAGCCCGGCTCACCACGGGTTCAACCCGGGTGAGCCGGGTTCAAATTTGACCCGCATTAAAATTTTCAAATTTTTTTTAACCCAACCTGGCTCGAACCCGTGGTGAGCCGGGTTAGCTCATCGGGCCAAGCCCATTTTGACAACTCTAATAATATATAATATATCGATAGACTTGGTAAGTGTTATCAAACTTCATTTAGATCGGTCAATCTGATTAGTTGACTCAAGAACTAGTCATTTAATCTGTTTGAGTCGATCAATGGACCAGGATGCTTTCAATCCGCTGCAACCCGACCTGACTCAGCGGGTTTGGCCAAAAATTAGTGACTTGGGTTTGGCTAACTCAGTCGGGTTAAATGCATATTTTATTTTATTTATTTTTTATTTCAGCAATACAACATTCGTGGCTTCATCTATTTGTCCATCTCCTCCGTCCGTTGCTCTCCTCTATCGCACAGTTTTAATCCCACTATACAACTCTTGTTGTCTCACCTCTCTCAATCATGCACTCCAACCATAGAGATGTGACCTTGTCGGTGCGATGCATTGATCATTTCTTTAGTGTACAACGACATAACCCGCAACATTTGTCATCATTCCTCACTGTCCTCACTATACAACAAGTTTGCATTTGTTCATCGCACGACAATGTAACCTTACTCTAATGTGTGAGTCATTAAATACATTTTAATTTTTTCGTTTTTGTCTATTGCTTGCTTTGGACTGGGTGATAGTTGCTTTATTGCTACTTGCTTGTGTATGAGTTTTTAATTTTATTTATTATGTTGTCCATTTGCTCTAATCCTGATTTGATGAGTGTTTATAATTTTGAAAAATTTTAATGTCTTTGTTCATGAAAAATTTATAATATGTTTTTAAAAAATTGAGACATAATATACTAGACTAAAGGGTTAGATAATTAAAATTCTTTATACACAAAAATAAAATAAAAATATGTTTTGATATAATTGAGGGATGATTCTTTTTAGTTAGTTGCAAAAATAATGTATAAAATGCATACCCAAAAAAAGAAAAGAAATAATATTAAAGATATCTATTAAGAGAATGCAAATAATAACACTAAAATAAATTAGTGGAGACAATACGTATATTATAAATCATGTTTTTCATTTTAAATTGTAAGAATAATTTATAATTATAAATGTTTATTAAATTTGCAAATTATAAAAATTTAGTGAGGGTAGCTGCCCCCACTCTCATACACTTGAATCTATCACTAAATTAAGGTAATATAATATTTTTTTGTCACAACAAGATATTCCTTTTAACTAAAAAATGTTAGATTTTCACTACAACATGAAAATAATTTGGTGGAAAATTTGTATAAAAAACATTTATGGGAAACAATGTTTTTTAGGAATGTTATTTTTAGATGATAAATCAAAAGTAGAAAACTAACATTCCCAACTTCCAATTCTTGAGAAAGTAAAAATATTTTACATACTAAATGTTTCCTTAATTTCACATGCTTGTGACAAAATGAGTTAAACATTAGAGAAATAAAAAAGTAGCAACTCCCATCTTAGTTATGATCTAGTCTTTCAAAATACTCTCAAGTGATCAATGTTTTTAGTACAAGTATGGTTATGTAATGCTCACTATTGGTAAGATCTTTATGCTGTATTTGTTTATTCATAACATAAATAGAACTAATATTAAATTTCATGACAAAACCCTCACAAGTTTACTTTTATGGTTTGATGTGAATCCTTTAAATTGAATAAGGATAAGAATAATATTAACAACAAAATTTTATGAATGTTTTCATAAGACAATTTTTTTTACAAGTTTATTTTTATGGTTAAGCTATGTTTTAATAGACAAACAAATATTTTTGAAGTAAGAAGAACAAGTATATACAAACAAAATAATACTATTTGTCAAGAAACACATTAAGACAATGTTTTACTTAAAAGATAAATAGGTGATATGTATTATTTTTCTTAAGATGTTAGTTTTAAATACTTTATTTATTATTCCTGGATATACTATCACCTGTCTTTATTACATTTCTTGATAAAATGAATAGACTCTAGTTTCTTAGGGATTGATAACAATTCTAAGGAAGTAGTACATTTTTCAAATGGAAAAAGACGAACCTACTCTTTGAGAAGAGTGTGGTAAACACAAAAGTTGTTTAAGATTGAACAAGAAAATGTTGATTCTTTTTAATAGAAAAATTTGATATATAGCCCTTTAGATAAGAAAATAAGTGACAATTTGACAAAATGTATTTAATTTAAGCATTTATGGCTCCAACAGACACTTCTCATACAAAAAAGAAAAACGAAGCAAGTTTGCAAGTGCATCTTGAAGGATTCACAATAGTTATCTTCAAAGGTTACCTATAAAAATATGAAGTTTGATCATAAAGGAACAAGTTACTCTAATGTCTTAATAATTCATTCTTTTTGTAACTATCTCTATATAAAGTTGTTTTTAGAGCTAAATTGTCTTATTATATTAAGGAAAACGAGACTTGTTAGTCCAACCTTCTAAGATTTAACTTAGTGTTTTAATTGGAAAACTTAGAGAGGCTTTATTTGTAAAGAATACCCGAGTACTTTGAAGCCTATAGAGACATTGTGTAATAAAGAATATTTAGATAATTACTTGAAGAGACAAGTCAAAGACTACTTAGATTGAGTCAATAATGGCTTGTAAAAGGATACTTTGTAACTTTTTTTTTAAGTTAATGGAATTTGATCAAGTCTCAATGGTAGAAATGAACCTGTATAAATTTTTGTGCTTTCTATTTCATCTTTTCGCTTTAGTTTGTCTCCTTTTTTGTTGCGTTCAAAAAATGTTGAAGTTTTAATAGATATAATTCAACCCCCTTCTTATGTTTGTTTTAACTCCATATTTTGGTATAAGAGTTTATCCTTTTATAGGTTGAACATTTAACACTGTAAAAGGAAAAAAAAATCCTAGGATGACAAGTAGTGAAGGATAGTGTTTATTAGAAGGAGCCTCTCTCATAAGGCCTCCTACCTTCAATGAAAAAGAATGCCTATATTGGAAGGAAAAAATAAAGATATTCATTAAGTTCACCAAATATTGCATATGGGAGAATAATAGATTAAAACATCCAAGTTTTAAAGCTTGAAAATGAGT